AGGTCACACAGACAGCAACTTTATTTCAGTATTACATGATACTCAGCATTGGATATGATCTCAGAAACTTTAAGTCTTTGATGTACTGTATTATCTAATTTAAAATCAGATTAAACTAAGATAGTTTTTGTGTTCTGGCTGTTTGGTTTTATTTTTGCAGTATAGTGGGGGTTTGAGTGGGTGTATGAACACTTTATTATTGAAGACACTTATACTGTATATTGCTGTCATTATATTCCTTTAATCACTATTAGTAAATGCAGCAGGTCCTTCCAATGGACTATGGTAAACCTCTCTTGCCAAGAACACAGTGTTCTTTGTGTCCTGTGGTTACTGTCTTTCGCTGTAGCTGAGCTCACGTACATCAGAGTCAACATTAACACAGAGCAGTACTCTCTCCCCCACCAACCACGTGCTACTTCCTCCATCTAGATCTACTGTTAGAATGCAGAACACCATGTGCCATACAGCTGAATTTCAAGATGGCACAACCAGGGGAAAATGCCAGGTGACACCACCAATCAAAATCTAGCTTATTCTCCCCTGTGCTCTTGCTCATGAGACCTACGAGTTCTCTGTGAGTGGCTCACCGCCCCATCTGGGGACATACCCCATCGCAGCTCAAGATTAGCAGGCGAAAATCAAAGTCTTCATTTCTTTTTAAATGCTATAAATACCATCAGTCTCATATTATATCTACTTCAGTGTAACATTTCATAGTAATATGGCAGTGATGCAAGGTGCTTCTAGTGCAACACAGACCACAGACATTTTCCTTCTTTCAGTGCCTTTTGTAGTTCTAGGAAAGGTCCCCATTTCCTCTTTGGGCAAACTGTGGGCAAGCTGTTCAGTTCAATAGAAAATCAATTTGAGAGGCAATTTATCAATGTTTTGCTGAAAGGGAAAACCAAATGCTTCTGCTGACAAACCAATCCTGATTTTCTTGTTTTTAGTTTTTACCTGTCTGGTATTGTTTGAGTACTCGGCCAAAGTCAATTTCACACAAGATGGAAAAGGAAGCTATGAACGCAGTTTATTATTAACAAATGACAATGATATTTGGCTTACATGCATGAAAAACATTTCTTGCTGACACAAAGTGCAATGCCACCGGACAGCCACCACAGACTCGTCTGAACTACAGGAGCACGGAGACAGTTTGATAACAGAAAGTCAATACGTTTATATTCTCACACGCTGTGATCAATGTAGATACTTTTGTCTTTTTCAATATCCACTGTTCAGTGATGTTTCCAGTCAGTTCAGACCTGTTTGATCAGGACTGTTTCAATAAACTTTGTCAGCAGTGTGTTAGAATAGAACAATGGTAACAAGTGATGTAGATGTGCTGTTTCCTATGATACTATACAGTAGGTTTCTGTTTTCAGTCCAGTCAGCAACACTATTCATTAGAAATTGTTCATTTGCAATGACAGAAAAATTGCTGAATGTATTATTGTGTATTATTGTTTCACATATCACATCACTTAAAACTCAACTGGTTATTTTAATTATGCAGTGTTTTCTTGGAGAATCTAACACATCTTCTAGACATGCCAAATTGCTTTTTATTTGCTAGCTAGTTTTTGTTGGGAAGCTGCTTTTGGCCTGGTTTAGCTTAAGTGTTCATTATTTATTTTGTTGTAGTGAATGTTTATTTTTTTAGCTCCAAGCCCTCCACACTGAGTCAGATATTCTCCTGGATGTTGTGAAATCAAATCGCAGACAGAAGCCATTTGAACGCCAAAAACAGGATGAGCTTACCGGCCTGTCAGTGTAGTGAAACACCCTTGGTGTCATGATCGTAGTGAGTCCCTCCTCTTAAGGGTGCTCCGGCTCTTTTCCGTTTTCATTGATTTCTTGCACCTGCCTCCTGTTCCAGCCCCTCCCTACTGTATATAAGCCAGATACTCCGACCATTCCGGGCTCAGTTTTGGAAGACGGACACCCGGAAGCCCGCCTACCAGTGGGTCCAGGAGTGGCCCGACGGCATCGGCTTCGCAATGGGGTCCTGATCATCTGGGTCCGGGGCTGGGAGCGCCTGGCTCCCGTTACCCCCTTTTTATTTCCCTGACCGTGCACCGGATCCCACTCCGGTTTTTAACTTTTGTCGTGTCTGTCACGGATGGATTACCCGGTTCTGGACTTTTGCTCCCACTCTGGATTTCCCTTCAGACTCCCTTTGGACTTGCGCCCGGACCACGGCCCCCTGAGCACCAGCGCACCGTCGACACTCCCCCCTTGTTCGTCTACCAGCCCCACTCCTAGTCTTCTCTCCCCCGTGGTTGTTTCACTCCCATCCAGATTCTGCTGTCTGCATAGGGCCTGATTAACACTTCATGACACTTGGTTCCTTCTACACCCACAGTAGATGTAAGGAATGTAGAGCAGCACTGCATACATGGGTACGTGTGTCCTCCTTTACCACCTCATCATAAAGATTTTTTAAGTTGGGGGGGGGGTGATGGCTCTCACTAAGGACTGACAAAATGAGAGAGAATTAATTGACCAGAAGTGGCAGGCAGGTTGATAGAAATTGCTCCAAGGATCCAAATGTGTGTTTGAAGGAGAATTGCTGCAACTTCATTTCCAGTGGAATAAAGAATAAAATAAAAACACACTACTAACGCACGCCTGAAGAAGGCTCCACAGCCCGAACCTTGTGTCTTTTTAGCAGGGAATAAACCTTTACCTGTTCCTTTGCAGCTCACACATGCTGACACAGCTCTCTACTTGAAACACTATGAACACAACCAGTTCCACTATGAGACACACAGTCCAGTTTTGTTAATCTGTGCTTTAAATAAAAACATTAATTAAAGCTATCTAAACCTTTGAGTTTGAGTAAATAAATTGAAAAAAAAAAAGATCTGACTTTCCAGGAACTGACCAGAGAATTGTTCTGGTTGTTTATGTAGGTTCCAGACATGAGACAAGACAATAGGAAGGAGGACATAACTATGAACTTAAGACACAAAGCAGTACACTACCTGAACTAAAATGTACAAAGCAGAAATTTATTATTTTCTGTTGCTGAAGGTTCCACTTTATTTGTATGTGGACCCAGTTTCAGTTCAAAAAGGTGGCTAGAATATAGCCTATGATAGTCTGGGCCTAATTCTTTAACATACAGAAACACTTCAGTTATAGGTCACAGGAACACAGACATTAACAAATACACATGTTCTGCTCTTACAGTACGTTTCATCATCTATTGATGAATAGTGTGGTGATGATTCACCGCTAATATTTTTTTATTGGTTTTGACATGTGTGTGAACCCAGGGGGCCCGGGAGAGGTGACAGTGGATCACAGCTTCACAGTTCCATTCTAATCCACAGTAAGAACATAAGAAAGGTTAGAAACTAGAAGAGGCCATTTGCCCATCTGGCAAATAGAAGAGTATTGACGCCATTTCTTAAAAGGGAGTCAGCTTCAAGCACATGGCTGGGGATCTTGTTCCATACTCCCTCAATTGTTTGTGTAAAGAATACCCTGTGGCCTTGGTTTATAATGTACTTGCATGGCGTTTTCATTAATGTCGTCCAGTTCATGTTTCATTGATTACGCTGAATACGTCCACTGTGCTGAATCTGTCAGGGCCTTTGAGGATTTTGAACACTTGTATGAGGTTCCCTCGTGCTCTTCTTTGTTCAAGTCCACAATGCATTGCTTTACGGATGTATTCCACACTGCTCAAGGGGAATTCAGGAGACAATGCCTTGACACAATATACGTTTTTCAATGAAAATGTTTCTTATGGTGTTACGACTTCACATCCTGCTTGGTGTTAATTGCATAAATTAAAAAAAAACTAAAATATTTTTTACACTTGACTATATATTGTGTACTTAATCAGGATTCATATATCCATAAGGAGCACGTTTATAATTTCTTCCGCAGTTATGAAATACGCTGATGCTCTGCGTTGACGACATCTTGTTTTTTTTTTATTTTTGCTTTACAGACGTTTAATGCTGTTTATGTCGAATGTTATGTTGAAATTATGTTAATTTCACTCAGTCCTTTCACAAAGAAGGTCTGTGACGTCTGTCCCATTCATCGGCCCACATACTGTACATACATATTCAATTTCTATTATCCCCGGGTCCCGTGAAGCCTTTTGACATTCAGCTCGTTCTGTGTGTACTACTTTAATTAGGAATTCATGAATACACTGGGAAAGCATTTATCAAAGGGACAAACATTTATCACTCACATTTAACACAGATCAACAGATCAGAATATGTTTCTGAATTTTAGAAAGTACACATATACATATAAAAAATAAATTTAAATAAATCTAAAGTCTATTACCTAAAAGATAATACAAAAGAATGTTACAGCTCGCCCTTGAGGTATAATTTTAATGTCATTTGCATATGTAGAATGCACGTATTTCGTTTGCTAAAACGCATATAGACCAGAGACATATTTGATCGTAGAAAACTGAGACACAACGATAGGCTTATGTCTGGCGTGTATACTGTATGTCACTGAATTTCATCGCCATTGTCTCGTAGGGAAATCGGAGAAGCAGCCGGGTAACATCGAATATCAGGAAATCGCTGTTTGTAAACGACAGGAGAGCATTCTTTTCGTGTGGCGTATTTGTTTTGGTGTTTTTTTTTCTCAGTCGCTAGTTAGTTTAAGAAACTCGGCCGATGGCTGCTGGGAAGAAAGCAGGTTATCGGTGAATAACAACATGGCCGGACAGCTAGTTAGTTTAAGAAACTCGGCCGATCGTTGCTAGGAAGAAAACAGGTTATCGGTGAACAACCACAACATGGCCGGACAGCCCGCTCCCTGCTGACCCGCGGCGCAGCATTAATCCCCACCCGCCCGCTCACGGTTTATTTTGGGATAGAAGACGCAATGCTCACTACAGCTCCGCCTCTCGTCGTGGCGTCTCTCCCTGCGCTGCCCGGATAGGCTTGGCCGCCCAGCTGTTGCGGGACGTCAGGGCCGGGGGCCGGCCGCTATAAAGCAGCCTGCCCTGCAAGCCCGAGTCTTCTGTTTACCAACACAGCGACCCCGTTCCGCGCATGATCTCCCTGGCAAACTTTCCAACCTCGGGAAATAAGTGCCCTGCGCGGTGCAACCCGCTCTCGGACAGCAGCAGGAGGAGGAGGACCTGCGCTCGGCTTGGAGAGGACAGCGGTAGCAGGAAGAGGACCTGCGCTCGGCTTGGAGAGGACGGGGTCCCAGTGAACCCGGGACGGCGCCTCCGCTCCTGATGCACCCCCTGTGCGCGCGGGCCAGCATGCTGCCGGAGATCAGCGCGGCCGCGAGCTTCCTGTCGCACCTGCTGCGCGCCCGGGGGCTCGTGAGCGACCGGCAGCTGCAGACCTTCAGCCAGAGCCTGCAGGACCTGCTGGCGGGTAAGGGCCGGGCCGGGCCGGATCCGGACCGAACCGGGTCCGGGGCTCGGCTCTCCGGCGCACAAGCCACGCCGACGTGGCGCGTCCACTGCCGCAGGGAGACGGCGCGGCGCCGAGCTTGTCGGTGGAGTCCGAGTCAAGCCTGCTTTGCGCTTCGCCCGTGTGGATAGTGGTAGTGTCAGCGGTGCCTGCAGCAGTGGAGGCCCGGCCCGTCCCCCCGGGAACAGCGCACAACCACGTTGTGGTCCACCGTGTGCGTGTCCGTCCGTCCCGGTCGCCCCGGCTCGGCCCGGGCTGTGGCGGTGCAGTGTCTCTCCGGAGCCGGGGCGGGCTCGGTTCGCTGCTTCCGGACCAGCAGACCAGACCAGAAAGGAGCAGAAGTTTTATAAAAATGAACCGTCGATCTTAGATGTTACTTTTTTTTGTGAATACTAGTGAGACTGGATTGACAATTCCGTCAATACTTAGCTCACCGATTGACAAAATCTAAAACAAGGAGGTTTAATATTACCGGAGGACCCTTTTAATAATCCAGACGGAAGCAGTTTTCAAGAATTAAAATGTCAGGTTATTGTTTAAGTAGCCCTTTATTTACCAGAGTTTCTCTATGGTTAAGACGCGACTGGCCATTTTGTGTTTGATCTGGAAATAAGAGAAGTGGATTAATATTACGGCAATGTTTTTTTTTCTCACTGTAATTTCACGGTTGTGAGCTATACAGCTCTGGAGAGACTGCGGGATTTCGTTGTTATATTGCTGTAATTGCTTAATTAGCCTGTGCCCCAGTTTCTTCCTGGGTGCCCCGAGCTGAGCAGCTTGTTGTGTCGCATCAGGTGTTTATTTCAGAATCGACGGAGGACCGAGAAACTGGAATGAAACTAGAGGCTAAATTGATGACGCATGAGTTTATTTAGCCGCTGCGGTGGGTTTTTCCCGATTACGAAATCGAAATGTAATAACGCGTGAAACTGAATTCCCAGCTCAGGCTCAAGATACTTTGATTTTTGTTTCAGAAGGTTGCTCGGTTTCGCTGGCACAAGTGTCCCGAGCAAGCTCGGCCATATTTATCGTAACCTGGCATTAGGGGACATTTTCGGCCGCCTTGATTGTTTGAAGACTTCTATAGAAAGCCGCCCCGTTTTCACCCCGCTCTTGAACGTGTAGCAAGCTTGTATGTGTTTAGGATTGACAAATGAGCCCAGAGGCCGCGGCAGGAGGGTTAGGGTTAATAATATTGATCACACGAACGCGGAACCCTGTGCTTCCGCTCATGTCTCCTCGATTGCGCAGATAAGTAGAAAAGTTGTGATCCCGTCTGTAAACTGCTTCGTCGGCAGAAATCAAGCCACCCTCCCTCCAAACCTTTAAGACGAGCTTAATGTACCTAGATACGTTTTTTTAAACGGTTCTCTGAAATGTAGTACACAATTTGCCTGGAGCAGTTTGCACCCTGTTAGTATCAGCGTTATTTACAGACGCGTTTATGGACTGACTGTTTATCTGTGTGGTGTTTAGATGTATAGGCTTTGACCCTTTGTAAAAAATGTAGCATATTTTCTTTTGGGGTCGTTGTACAGTGAGATTATTTTTTTGAAAGGCGTTACTGCTCCCTAAAGGAGTTCCTGGAATTCAGTGCAGCCTTTGCCTTTCTGGTAGTTCGGTTTTCGAGGTTGGTTTCCGAAGGTGCAGCCAGCAGCAAAGGCCCAGTAAAGACTGTATTGCTCACAGGGGTGCATGTCTGTGAAGACAATCTATGGTGAGAGTTTCAGGCAGTAGGCGAACGGTTTCCATTCGAGATGAGGAGCTCCCTTTTTAATTTATGCTTTCTGTGTTAGTCACAGTTAGCCCTCTCTTGTCAGGGCTAACTGGTAGGTGTACATTCAGTGCAAATTCTTTCAAATTGTAGTGTTTCTGTAGTTATGCTTGTGTAGTTTTTATTCTTGTATATAAGTTTCATTTGTATTATTGTATATCGCTTTCCAGTGCAGTTGGCAGGCTATCAGTAAATAAAAAACTATTTGTACTTACTCAGAAATCACTTTAAGACATGTATAAGAGAGTCAGGCTTGGGGAATTTAATCATTGCGTTCTTTCTGGACATGCGCTCTGTTAAAAATGCGCGTGGGCTTTCTCATACCTGATGAAAGCACCATTGCTCATCTCTCTTATAGACGAAAGCCAGCTCAGACAGTCCTTGTTTGCTGTGTGTTTTTGCAGTATCCCGTCGTGGTAAAATGAGTCGCAACTGAAATGGATTTTTAAAAAATGGGGCGTTTTTGTACCTACGACCACAAAACGAAGTTGCGAATTCAACCTTTAACCTGATTCAGAAGTCCAAAAGGAATTGCCTGCGGTGTCCTCTGCCGCTGAAGACCTGTGAAGATTCTTGTTCAGTTTTAATTAATAACAACAAGGTGTGGGGCGGAGAGAGCTGGCTTTATTTTCCTCATGTGGCAGCAGTAACTGGGCGGGCAGCGTTATCCCGATCAAGAGCGTCTCCTCTCCTCTCTTCACAGAGCAGTACAAGCACCACTGGTTCCCCGACAGGCCCTGCAAGGGCTCCGGCTACCGCTGCATCCGCATCAACCACAAGATGGACCCACTGGTGGGCAGGGCGGGCCAGCGGGTCGGGCTCAGCGCGCAGCAGCTCTTCCGGCTCCTGCCCAGCGAGCTCACGCTCTGGGTGGACCCCTTCGAGGTGTCCTACCGCATCGGGGAAGACGGGTCGATCTGCGTGCTCTACGAGTCGCCACCGGCCGGTGGCAGCGGCGCCCAGGGCCCCGCGGGCGGCGGACTGGCCATGGCGGACAGTCGGATCAGCTGCAAGGAGGAGCTGCTGCTGGGAGGGGCCAGTCCCTCCAAATCCTACGCCATGATGACGGTGTCCGGCTAGCGGCTCCGCCTGACGGGGGAGATGCCAGCTGAAGAGAACTCGGAGGTTTTGTGACTTTCTGAGGGCTCCCTTGGGGAGAGGATCATGGACTCTCGTGGTGCAGCTATGAAGATCTAAGATGCAGCTTTCGTGGTGTTGAGGGGGGTGGGGGGGTATTGCCTAATTGCCACAATTGTAGACTTTGCACTTTGGTACGTCGTCTTTTGTAAGGAATTCATTGCAGCATATTGCTATACCTTTATTTGTCGAGAAATCTATTTTTTAAAGAAAACGGGTTTAAAAATCCTGCAGGTATTCTGTACTGTGGTCAGAGAGTGACCCCATCGCTCCTAGATGCTTCAACTAGTCATTGAAGAACCTCTTTTTCCCGTGCAGTACGTAAACCACAGATGGTCATTTGTACCTGGGACAAATTGGACTTCGCTTTTGTCTTTAGTTACAGAATACTGTCAATCAGAAATGTTCCTTGTGTATATAAGATTGCTATAGATTAAATTCTGCCATGATTTATGAAGATGGTGCATTTTTCAGCAGTTCTGTTACTCTGAGATTTAATACCAGTTCTTTTCATGCCCGTATGTCAGCATACCTGTAACCCTGATTTTAAATCTAGTTCAGAAGTCTAGTGTGCATCTCCCACCTCTTTGTGTGTTGGTGTTCCCCTTAACCCGGGTAGAGTGAAGTGTTATGGTTACTTGAGTGCACTTGGACCTCCAGACTGTGGAACAGGTTAGTAGTCCTTACCTTCCATATAGTAGAATTGTTTTAACCTTTACCTTTTACTTAGGAAAATGGGCCAGGCTTGACAAAACAACTTACTATTACTATACAATACATTCGTAAATTTGTTGTATTGTTCCTTCTAGTTGGGGATTTAGTTGTATTTTAGGGTTTCTGTTTTGCTTAATATTCCTCTGTTTCCAATTTGAAATAAACTCCTCCTCTCCCTGCGAGATACACAGAGATTGGCTTTTCACGGGGTAGAGCTCTTGTAGTGGAGTGATTGAGGTGCTGCAGGAAAGTTTTAAAGTCAAATTGCCACGAAAGCAGGATGTTTTCAGTCAGTGCTGTACACAACTCTCTTCTTCCTGTGCATGCACTCGGGGTAGGAGAGAGCTGGGGGTTGAGTGCAGTAGAAGGGGCTCCTGCTGCAGGGTTTCTTTAACAGTGGGCTGTGTTCTCAGGCTGCCTTGTCCAGGCACCAGTGAGAGCAGAGAGGAGGGGCTGGCAGAGAGCCAGGCTCCAGGGTTTCATCACACTTCTGAGTCACTGTCATGTGCGGGACAAATTTGTGTAGGAGGTGCATGAAGAGCTATATTTGTGAGGGCTGTTTTCCTCATTTTATTTCACTGTTTCGCTGGGTGGCTACACTAATGTGAGCCCTGGGCCCCTTTGAGACATTAATGAAGGTGTTTGGTCTTCTTCTGTCGCTGAAGTGCATCTGTTTAGACTGTGAATTCTCGGACAGAATGTGTGGTGCCACATTCCACACCCCTTGGTCAGAAGTGTCAGCCTTTGGCCAGATAAGGGCAGCTATGACCTGGCTTTTCTTATAACTGCACTGATTGTAGTGAGCATTCAGCAGGCACTGAGCTTGTTCTTTTCCCTCTTAATATAATATAAAAATGTCTGCAATAACCAATGTAAAACTGGGATCTCTAGGAAAAACCCTATAGCAACAAGTTGGGTTTTGGGTACTTTTCGAAGTTTCTAACAATGACTTCAGCAGTCAGTGGCAAATGTTTCCGTACCTGTGATTATTAGTCCTGTGTTCATGACAATACTCCTACTGAAGCCTGTGCTACAGCCTGCCTTAAATGGTGACAGAAAAGATGGCACAAGTGGCATAAGTTGTAGGTTACAGATCCAAATGGGGGGGGGGACTTTTAAAGAAATCTATATTGGACACTTGCTTTAGTGCTGTTATTATGGGATTAATTTTCTTTTGGAGATTTTTTTCTTACATCTGTAAATGTTAAATCACTTTTACTTTACATTGTTAACCTGCTCAAGTTGAATATAGTTGGGATTTATAACTGATTAATATAAAATTTAAATGTGGACTGTTATAAACGCATTGGTTCATTGACCATGAATATGCAAACATGCTATCCATTCCGAATTGAGACCTAAAAATATCTTGACAGGGCTCTTAACAGGCATAATGTATTTTCATTTATGGTAAAAGGTTTAACCTGTCTATCTTTCCTAAATGTACATTAAAAAGTATTAATGCAGTTGTGTATGGTTGTAGAGTTATGTCGGTTTCACTTTTGGATGTAGAGGTCATGGCATATACCACCTACTCATTTCAAGTACTCTGTAACCTGATTTTTGAGATGTTGCCAAACTCAAGCCATAGGGGCCAATGTTGTCAATGCATTGTGCTAGCAAGGACCAAAGTAAGTTCTTTTGGTAAATCTGGGTAATTTTCATGATCTTTGAATCTTGTCTGTTTTTTTTTTTTAAACTAAACTAGTTAAGACAAAGCATTTCTTCCTTGTGAACTGTCTGTTTTTATTTTCTTAGATATGTTGTGAACTGCTGTAAATTTGTACAGTTCAATGTAAATTGTGAGAAAGTTGTACAGATTTCTATATTTTGGAAGAGATTTTTTTCCTCTGTAATAAAACTTTCATATCTTCGCATTTTTGTGGTGCATCTGATCTTTTTTTTTAACCCACACTTTTTATCCACTCTGAAGGGGTCATTTTGTCCTTGTGGATATATAACATCAAAAGCATTCTGAAAACATTTAATACCAGGTCGTTTACAGTCCTTTTTTGCTTCTCTGAAGAATACTTCAGACCTTTTGAAAACCTAGGATACAAATGAGAGGAGTCCATTTTGCACATCTATCCAGTGTGGTTGCTCGTAGGTAATTGAAGCAAGTATCTCATCTAGCTATTTCCTGAGGAAACTCAGTAACTTAGGTCAGTAGCTTGTTCCAGTCTTTCACGACCTCTTGTATAAAAAAATAAATAAAAATCGGTCTCCTGTTCTCAGTTTTAGATGCATTTCCATGTAGTTTATACTGGTATTCTGTGATTTGTATTCACTGTTGATTCTGTGAAGTCCATTCAGTTGAGTCAACCTTCAGAATTCAGAAGTCAGCTTGGTGCATTTTGCGATCATGAATCTGGCCTTCTTGGTCTTTGCCGTTGAAGACGAAGACCAGCTTGCACTCTACAAAGATTCAGGTCTTTATAGGGTGTCTGTGTGCAACATTTAAGCCCAGGATTATATCAGTTTGCTTTTCTATTGACTAATTTCAAAACAGCACTCTTTTTAGGTAACATGGTCACATGGAGTTCTAAATGAAGTCTTAGTACAGTATTATACAATTTTAACAACATCCCTGTTGGCTGTCACTTAAAATGCCATTATTTTCTAAGTTAGTCTAATTTTGCTGTAACTATAATTTGTATAAGTTTGCCAGTAACTGAAGTAAGCAGATTGGTCAGTAGTTTTTTTGGTTCAGGTATGTTGCCCTCTTTATGAACTGGTTTTCCATATTCATTCTCAGAATTGTTGGCGACAGCTTCCATGCTAAGTAAGTTAAATATTCCAGCTAGGAGGTTCATTTGGGGAAAATGAACCTCCTAGCTGGTTCATTTGGGGAAAATTAACCCTGCTGATTCATTACTTTTTAACTGTCATAACCGCTGTAGAACTTCAGTGCCAGTATATTAAAATTTGATCCAATACTGATACTTTAGATATTATGTAGAGTATGTTATTGATGTCTTGTAAGGTGAAACCTTTTTATTTTCACATCATAAAATATGTGGGTAATCGGACTTTACGCTGTGCAGCTCAGTGAGACCACTGAATGTGTTCTGGGAATGTTGACAGCAGGAATCTCGCAATGTGAAAATGCTAGGGTGTACAGGGTCCATCTGTTCACCATTTCTCCAGCCAAACTACTAACTGACAGGAAGCACCTGTGATCTGACCAGAGCCAGTCAACCATATGCAATGATTAAATAACGAGATTGTCACAGTGAGGGACCCCCAATGGGCTGTTTCTGCACAGCAAAAGTTAGTTGCAGATACAGCTGGGTTTTGTGGAAAACAGGTCCCGAGTGTGAAACTTGACATGATTCATTGTGACCAGGCTAAAACAGCTGAACATTAACATGGAAGAATTTCTCCTGTATACTGAGGTCTTCTGCCAATTCCCACATCTGTGTCTCTTTGACAATTGTTGAATAAGTCATACGGAAGGAATCACAAGAGGTTGGTTAGGTGGAGGTAACACCATTAAAGTCATCCTTAAGGCATGGTCTTTTCTCGATGATGGAATTCTCACTCCCTAGAGTGTACTTGCTGTCTGCATGGCAATCACCCTATCGACAAAATAGTTCTGAATTTTATTCACACTGAATATTTTCAATGTGTGACTATTCTTTTTGTAAGCTCCTAATTTAAAACAATCTTAGATGAACTTGGTTCACAGTTATGACCTTTGCATCAGCTGGAAGAAAATAAAAAAAACAGTACCAGTGACTGGATCAAATGCTACAGCGGTGAATCCCCTTCTCCAAAGGTCCAAATTGTTACTTTAGGGCAAAACAATGATGATGGTGGTTCTGAACCTCAGAAATTGCTACAACTTTGATAATTACGGAACCCAATCAACTTTTAGGAGCTAAAAGCAATGGCAAATATCTGCCTCAAAAATATGTCAAATAAGAAATCCTGTGGAATAAAAAACGCAAAGGACAGGTATCCACTAAAACCAAACTTTGTAACCCCTGAAATATAACCGGAGTCAGAGTGGATTTCAGAACCTTTTTTCAACAACCATTCTAACCAATCTTAAAATAATGTAATGAACAAAACTGTAGAATGTTAATATATCCGTTTATCCTGAATCCAGATTTTCAGATCAGGTTTCAAGATTTAAATAGATGAAACGAATCTGCCTCTCAAGTTGCCTTTTCTACAAAAACACAATTCAGCTTAAACCTTTACACCTTGAGTGGCAGTGTCGCAATAAATATGAATTGTACAATAAATGAAAATGTGTCTCTTGAATGTTAATTTATTTTCAGTGACTCATTTCAGTGACATTTAAAAAAGGAAGTTTTATTTTCTTGAAAAAGCAAAGCAGTGTGTGAGATTCCTAGCAAAACAGCAGGAAAAAAAATGAAAACAATTGTATTCCCTTAAAAATGTTTCAGAGGAAAATGAGTGCAGTCACATTTCAAATCCATTGTGTAACATAGTCATAGACACACAGACATTACTATAATTTAGATTGGCACGAGAGTCCTGAAATCTCGCACACGAATACGACTGATTCAAAATGTGAAAATAAGTAAAATAATTTGACTTTTTTAAATGGAGATTATAAAATTAAAAAAAGAATTTCCCAAGGAAAATACATTTTGGACTGAATTGTGTGGAAGGATCATGACCTGACATACGGTAGGTACCTTCTGTCTTTGGTTTTGTGCTATTAAAGCGTCTGTAGTCAAGCCCAAATCAAGCTGCTTTTTAAGCAGGCATGCCCTGGCAATGTCACGAAATCCAGTTAAACTGGGGTGGCAGTTATGCAAAATAACTTAAGGCTTTGCAGCTGTCTTAATTACAGTGTTTTTCAGGTGTTGCTGCCAGGGTTTTTTTTCCCTGAAAGCTAATGTAACGCTTCTAGGCCTGAAAATTGTTTTCATTCGTTTGAGATTCTTTTGAATAGATTTGGACTTTTACTCCGTCTGGTTTATGCAGTTCTCTTCTCTTCACAACAATACTGCGGGCGAAACAATCGTAGCCGAGCCCCTCTTGGCTCCTGACACAGAGAGAGGGACTACAAAGGGAAAGAGGCCGCAAAAATCAATTGTGTCCTCTTCTGTGATGTCGTTCAGTAGCCTGAGGCCATTGTCATTAGTCTGCTGAACACGCATCACCTTGATCTTGTCTCTGTTCAAGAAGGAGAGAGGAACGGTTTGCCATTTTAAAACTCTTGAAAGTGGTTTTAACATATACAATAAATATCTACCTCCCCAAGTTGCACAATGAACCAAAAATGTAAATAAAGCTAAAAATTAATTGTCAGTCTTCACGGGGGAGGGTAACTTTCTTTAGTCCTTCACAAGCTGCCTTCTAGAAATAGCAAACCTTTGATCTGGACTCTATATGTACAGGTACAGGCAGTCCGGTGGCACAGTGGTTAACATTGCTACCTGTTGTCCTAGGTTAAGTTCTGGACCTGGATTGCTATCTGTGTGGAGTTCGTTTGTTCTCCCCGTGTTTGTAGGATTTTCCTCCCACAGTTCCAGAAACATACTAGTAGGTTAATTTGCTTCTGAGAAAATTGGCCCTGGTGTGTCTGTGCGTCTGCCCTGCAATGGATTGGTGAGCTTTGCGTCAGCTGCTTGCTAAAATAGGTTCTGGCTCCTCCACAATCCTGAATTTGCAAAAGCGGCTAGAAGATGCATGTACACTAAAAAAGTATATTTTAAAGCCTACCATATTATGATCACATTTCTCTAATGGTTTTATCACTTGTCTTCCTCAGTGCATCTTGATTATTTGTCATTTAGACATTCTTCCTTGTAGGTGATCTAGCGAACATTAATCAGGAAGCAGTCTGTCTTTTCACTTTTCTCTTGTTTTATTTATTTTTCTTAAAATCAATTTTTGGTCTGAGAAAGTCTTAGAAATGCCTCTGCCTTACAGAGCAGTTGCTGAGAGTTATTTTCACTTAAGTAGAATCAAATAAAGAGAAACAAAATCACAGGATAGTGTAGCTTTAGACATAGAATAGAACATGACAATGTACATGTCCAGTGGGGGTGTCCGGTCCTGGTCCTGCAAGGCTGGTCAGTGTGTCTGCAGGTTATCTAGATCCCCTCAAAGTAGAAGCATCTGAAGAGCTGGAAGAAGTGGTTAAATTAACCCCATCAATCCAATAATGAGCTGATTTACGATGTTTTTAAAACATAAAGAGGAAGTGAAATTCCAGATCCTATAATCCTACATCTAATATCTCTCCCCCTAAGAAGGAGGTGAAATTCCAGATCCTATAATCCTACATCTAATATCTCTCCCCCTAAGAAGGAGGTGAAATTCCAGATCCCATAATCCTACTCATAATATCTCTCCTCCTATTTGTGCTTCTGCCTCCCTCACTCACCCTCACAGATACCCCCTGACTCACCCCCACTTCTCCCTCGCAGACCCCCTTACTCACCCTGACAGCAGCTCCCTGGCTCATTCCTCATGAAGAAAGGACGGTCCAGTCTTCAAGGGCAGGCTGCCGTTCCCTCGCCAAGGGCAGTTACGCCAAATATGTTTCAATTAGTTTTGTCTCCCTGTCTTATTAATTAGGATGTGTCTGAACTGCTAAAAGGCTGTTAAGAGATGAGTTGGAATGAAAACCTGCAAATACACTGACTCTCCAGGTCCAGGATTGCCCATTCTTGATGCAGGGTGATTAAGGAGAGTGCGTTATCTTCTACCACTGATCCTAACCATGTGGACAACAGGTTTTTATGTTGGCACATTTTTCTCCGACTCTAGGTAATGTAGGGAAGCAGTAAAAGGCATATAGTATGTCGGGATGTATAGTAAAGGTATAGAATATTAATCAGGGGATTTTATGTTACTTAACTTCTATAATGCAACAGAATCAGTTCAGAAA